GCATGTGTTGACAATGTTTGAATGTTTGTTTGGTGTAGTTTCCAAATTCTTCGTCCAGAATCCGCCTGTAGGGGGACATGCCCGACCTAATCCTGGGTGGACGAGGCAGGACGGCGTCGACGACGAAAGGCAGGCGACGTGCGACGACGACGACGACGCTTAAGTCGGGCGTGTCCCTCTACAGGAGGAATGTTCGAAGATTGTCAAGAAGTAGGGGGACGATGTTTTTGTTTGATATGTGTTGCTATACGCTTGCATGTTTTGTATATTGTTCCGTCCAAATTCAGTCTGTAGTGGGACATGCCCGACCTAATCCTGGGTGGACGAGGCAGGACGACGTCGAAGACGAAAGGCCGGCGACGTGCGACGACGACGCTGACGCTGACGACGACGACGCTGACGCTGACGACGACGACAACGACGACGACGACGACGACGACGACGACGACGACGACGACGACGACGACGACGACGACGACGACGGCGGCGGCGGCGGCGGCGGCGGCGGCGGCGGCGGCGGCGGCGGCGGCGACGACGACGGCGACTACGACGACGACGGCGACGACGGCGGCAGGCGACGACGGCGGCAGGCGACGACGGGCGCGCGTCGGGCCGCGCCTCGGGGCCCACGTCGCCGAATATGCACCGCCGCCACGGGCCACCCGCCCGAGGCGGGGAGGCTGGCAGCGCACTCTCCGAGGCCGCGGCGGCGGTGGCGTGCTGCCTTCTCGGGGCTCCCCGCATTTGTCGTCATATCCTCCTTCTCCTCCTCCACCTCCTCATCTTCCTCCTCCTCCTTCCTTCCTCCTCCTCTCCTCCTCCTCCTCCTCCTCCTCCTCCTCCTCCTCCTCCTCCTCCTCCTCCTCCTCCTCCTCCTCCTCCCTCTCGGGGGCGGCAAAGAGGGGTGGGATGACTAGGGGGGGGATATGGCGGGGGCCATGATCTCTTCCCAGAATTCATGGCGCCTCTTCTTATTTCATTGCGTCCCTGGCGCCCCCCCTGAGCCGCGCACAGCACATGCCGCCGGCCATGATTTGCGCCCCCCCCTCTTGGACGCCCCCCTCTTGGCCGCCCCCGATTCTCGGGGCTGCCCCCCCTTGCTGCCCGCCCGCGCCCCGAGGTGCTCGTGCTGAACTGCGGCGGGGACCTCTTCTCGGCGAAGCGGTCGACGCTCTGCCTGTACGAGGGCTCCTACCTCGCGAACCTCTTCTCGGGGCGCTGGGACTCCTCGATCGGGGGGGGCGGGAAGCGATGCCAGTGGTTAGCGCCTTCGAGCGGTCGCGGAGGGCACAGTCAAGGCGCCGAAACGAGGACCGCTTTGGGAGTTCAGGAGGGGCTCTGTTTTTCAGGCCGCTCCTCAGACCGGGGTCGGGGAGCCTTGATGGCCGAGGCTCGCCGTGGCCTGCAAGGCACCCTCGTTCCTGATTCAGCGTTCCTTCGCAGACCCCCGACGTCGTCTTGTTGCAGCGTGGACACCTGGAGGTCTGGACCTCTTAGGGGCCGGTGACTCATCCCGAGCAGCTTGCTGACGGCCAAAAGAAATAACGTACTCAAAGGGCCTCGTGGCCTTGAAGCGGCACGTCGCCAACGAGATGGTCAACAGCCACTCGCACTGCAAATCGAGCCCTGCCTCGACTCGATGGGAGTGGTCGCAGCCGTCACAGCTACGAGACCCAAGCCTCTGGCAGAACACTCACTGCTGCCGCGTGTGCTCTGGTTCCGCGACCTCCTGAGCTAGGGCCAACGATGGGCTCCGGAGTTGGAAAAGTACCCTCGCGGACGGATCAACCAAGGGCAGCACAGATAGATCTCCCCTCCATGACGTGGCTGGTGGCTCTCATCAGCGGTCACATATACCGTACAGAGTCGCCCTCACGTCGGCCCAGTGCACAAGCGGCAGCCGACCTCCGACAATGAATTAGATCATCATGCGTATAGGGACTGCGTGTGCTCCATCCTCCTCGGAACCATTTAGTCCTTCCCCATCCTCATCTTTTCGGAATCATATGTCCGGAAAGTCTGTCACATGGCACATGATGGTGAAGGGGACTGTCGAAGCACGGCTGTTCGGGAGAGCATGCTGTCGGGAGCCGACGCTGCAGTGGAAAGCGCGCGCTGTGACATCAGTGCAGGTGGACGCATGCACGGACATGGCGGACACAGAAGCAGCAGGAAGGATCAGCGAGAAGCATCCACGCTACGGGTGCCACTTTCCATCAGCAGGCTTGCGCGCCGCCCGGCCGAAGCGCGCTGGGCTGCGGGCCGTAGCTCACGCGCTGCTGGGCCCGCGCACGGGCTCTCGGCGCACGCCGTCGCGCGCTGGCGGCCGCCCGCTGCCGCGCGCGCGCACGGCACCATGCTGCAGAGTAAGCCACCGGAGCCCCTAGGTCAGCCGCCGCCTCGCCGCTCGCGTTCCGCACCCTCGTCTTCCTCGTCTTCCACGGAGGAAGTAGCGTCGTCAGAAGTTGTGGCCCTCGCATCGACTGCAGGCCGAGCCTTGCCAAGGGTTCGGTTTTCGACGCCCCCTCCAGGCATTTGGGCAAGAGTCGCCAGCCCATCAGGTCACCGGCGATCACCCGCTCTCCCAGCACGCCACCGACGAGTCCGCCACCACGCAGAAGTGGATCGCCCGGCGCAGCAGACCAACGAGATGAGGCGCGCTGTATGAACGGCACTCTTTCACAAGGCCGCCTTCAGGCCCGTTCCCGGTCGCGCCTACTTTCTCCGCGCAGAGACTGCACGGCAACCATGTCTCACTCGCGGCTGCTGCCGACTACTGAGGCACCCGCGACGACACCGACCCTGCCAAGTGCGACACCTCTTCCAGAGGCGCCAGCCACGGCACTCGGATCACACCCAGCCGTTCACCAAGTCCGACGAAGAGATTGTGAATTTGGTGCGCAGTTGGCATCATGCGGACCCGGTGCCTGAACAGGTATTACGTCGCAGCATGGTCAGCGCCAACTCGATGGATCCTGGGCCCCGCGCTCGATGTACCTTCGAGGAGCGGAGAACCCACGGCTGGACAAAGGATCCGAGGCCCACACATGCGAACGTCCTGTTGGGCATCAAACTCGTGATGCTCACGCAGAAGCTCTACCACTTCTGGAGTTCGTAGGGCCCTTACTTAGCAGCGAGACGAACGCAGGCGTTACTGGACGCTGGCAAACGCGGGGTCCTGGCCCAGGTTCGGTCAAACTCCGTCGGCCGAGCTCGATGGCACATCTGCGGCGGTAGCCGGCAAGGGCAGGGGCGAGAGCAAGGACAAGAGCGAGCCCACGCAGGACGACGCCTGTGATTTCCCCAGAAAGAAGGAGACCCGCAGGGCTGGGGAGAAAGTCAAGCGTCGGCGCGCCAGCGCGGCACTCCGCGCGGCTAGCGCTGACGAGCCACAGCAGCCGCCCCCTTCCCAGGGGCAGCGCCGAGCCAAGCACGCCCAGCGAGGAGGTCGCCAGCGGCAATCGCGATCGGAGCGTGTCCGACGGATCGCGAGGCGATCGTGCCAAAATAGTGTGCGCATCCTTCATGGTTCATTTCCATCCACCACCTTCTCTCCCACGTGCCAGGCCAAGGCACGACGCCTCCACCTCACCATTCACGCGACCCCGTGGCCCTGTGGCCATCATCTTGCCTAAGTCTCAGGACAGGCTTTCAGACATCATGTCTGCGGCCCGACGTCACAAAGCTCGCGCCCCCACACGCGCGCCCGTCAGGTCAGACAGCGACGGCGTCTCCCTGCCGAGTTTCCCATTGTCCTTCGGTTTGTTTTCTCCGCCAGAGTTGTTCGATCGCCCGCGCAATCCCGACTCACATAGGAGAGGTCGCCGCTGCTTGGCCCGAGTGTCGACGCATACCATTTTATTATTGCATGACGAGTGCAAGCCCAGCAGTCTACATCTGAAAGACCGCTTTCTGGCGACATTTGCAGGGGGGGAAGGCTTTCCACCCCCCACCCCCCGCCCCCTTGCAAACGAGGGGCGGGGGGGGCTCGGGAGGCGCCCGCCCCCCCCCCCCCCCCTCCAGAAAAAAAAGAGAGAAAAAAAAGGGAGGGGGGTGCAAACACACCTCCCCCCCGTCCCCTCCCGAACCGCCGGCAGCCGACGACGACATCGACGACGACGACACATTACATTCTTGCGCCAGGGGGGGGTTCGAACCCCCCCAGGCCCTCCTGGGGGTTTTCCGAAGCACCCCCTCCAACACCCCCCCACCCCCACCCCTAGCCGCCTGCCGCCGCCGCCGACGACGACGACGATGACGACGACAACGTCAACGTCGACGACGACAACAGCGACACATTACATTTTTGCGGCAACTGGGGTGGCGGGCGGGGGGGGTTCGAACCCCCCCATGCCCTCCCAGAGGGGCTCGAAACTCTCCCCTCACTCCCCCCCGTGCGAGATAAGGTGTTGTTGCGGCCCGTCGGTTGTTACTGCGACCCGGTGGGTGTTAGTATGGCCAGTTGTATTAATGATCGAGTACGGCGAAAGGGGGGGGGGGTCAAAAAGGCTCCGCCCCCCCCTTCACCGAAGAGCCTCTCGGAAGAGCCTCTGGTGCTCTCCGAAAAGCCTCTTGAAGCCGCCGAAGACCTTCTTGCAGCCGCCTAAGAGCCTCTTGGGCTCTCCGAAGAGCCTCGTGGGGCATCCGAAGAGCCTCTTGAGGCATCCAAAGCGTTTCCTGGGCTCTCCGAAGCGCCTCTTAGGTTTTCCGAACGACGACTACTACTACTACTATTACTACTACTACTACTACTACTACTACTACTACTACTACTACTACTACTACTACTACTACTACTACTACTACTACGACTACTACTACTACTACTACTACTACTACTACTACTACTACTACTACTACTACTACTACTACTACTACTACTACTACTACTACTACTACTACTACTACTACTACTACTACTACTACTACTACTACTACTACTACTACTACTACTACTACTACTACTACTCTACTACTACTACTACTACTACTACTACTACTACTACTACTACTACTACTACTACTACTACTACTACTACTACTACTACTACTACGACTAATACGACTACTACTACTACTACTACTACTACTACTACTACTACTACTACTACTACTACTACTACTACTACTACTACTACTACTACTGCTACTACTACTACTACTACTACTACTACTACTACTACTACTACTACTACTACTACGACTACGACTACGACTACGACTACTACTACGACTACTACGACTACTACGACTACTACTACTACTACTACTACTACTACTACTACTACTACTACTACGACTACGACTACTACTACTACTACTACTACTACTACTACCACTACTACTACTACTACTACTACTACTACTACTACCACTATTAGTAGTAGTACTACTACTACTACTACTACTACTACTACTACTACTACTACTACTACTACTACTCTTTCGGCGTCACCCACCTGGTTTGACTATCGACAAAGGCGGTCGCATCACATCGCATAGGGATTTCGGCGGCGAGCCTCAGAATCGTTTGACCGATCCCTGCCCCCATGGCTCCCCCACCCCAGTTGGGGATGTGCCCCTTGAGACCCGAAGGGAGCGGCCCACATCCCCATCTAGGGGAGTTTATCGGCCAGGGGGTCCCAGGCAACGCTGGCGGGATGCGGATCGGTTAAACGATGCTCAGAGCCCATGGGGAAGTGAGAGGGGGCCCGCCTTCTCAGAAGTATGCGGGGTTTCTCTGAAGCCCTCCTCCGGCCTTCTGAAAATCCCTGTCTGTTGTCGGAGAAGGCTCAGACAACTTCTCAGAAGGCGGGTGGGTTTCTGAGGGGTCCCGCCGCCTTCTGAGAAGGGTTTCTCCCTCTCGCTTCCCCCATGGGCTCGCTGCCGAAGAACGACTCTGGATGAAGAACATGTCCCGCGGAACAAGTCGAGACCTCCGGTGAACAATTTCCCTTGCGACGTACCCAACCATATGACCGATCAATGCAAACGAACATGCTGAAGGACCCGCAGGAACCAACGAAAGTGGCGACGATAGCACAGTCAGCAGCCCCCCAGGGGAGCCGCGAGGTTTCGGCTGGGTCTGTTTACAATTCCACTCCGCTGGGCCTCGCATGAGCCCACGAAAGTAGCCCCAGGGAGCCGCGAGGTCTCGGCTTGGACTGTTTACAATTACACTCCGTTCGGCCTCCCAGGAGCCCACGAAAGCGGCGACAGTGGCTAACCTCGCAGCCTCCCAGGGAGCAGCGAGGTCTCGGTTGGGTGTGGTTACAACTACATTCCGGAGGGCCTCCCAGGAGCCCACGAAAGTGGCGACAGGGGGGCACTTCGCAGACCCCTAGGAAGCCGCGAGGTCTCGGCTGGGCCAATGTGCAACTCCATTCCGCTGGGCCGGCCTTCCAGGAGCCCACGAATGTGGCGACAGGGGGGCACTTCGCAGACCCCCAGGGAGCCGCGACGCCGCGAGGGCTAGACTGGGTCTGTTTACAACTCCACTCCGCTGGGAATCCGAGGAGCCCACGAAGGTGGCGACAGAGGGGCACTTCGCAACCACCCAGGGGAACCGCTAGGTCTCAGCTTGGTCTGCTCACAACTCCACTCTGCTGAGCCCCCCAGGAGCCCACGAAATTGGCGACAACTTTACACTTCGCAGCTCCCCAGGGAACCGCGCGGTCCCCCCTCCCAGGAGCTCACGAGCTCACGAGAGAGGCAGAGTCACAACGGGGCTGCAGCGCAAGCAGGACAAAGGAGAGAAGGGAGGAGGAAGAAAAGGAAAAGGAGACCGGAGGCAGGAAGCAGGAGGCAGGAGGCAGGGGTGGGAGGCGGAGGAGAAGACTCGACCACTGTGTTCTATTCAATACGAAAACCAACACATGAGGGTTGGGAAAAAACTCCTGACGTCGAGGGTCTGGACCCAGAGCGCTTGTGCGTGTGGCTTTCTCGCACCCCCGTGCATAGAGCGGGACAGCAGCGGGCACTTCTTCATCGACTTCGACCCCGCATGCTTCCGCCTGGTGCTGAACTTCTTGCGGAGAATCGGGCGGAGAGAACTGCACGCCCGCAGGGATCTTGATCAGGCCCCCTCTGGAACCCAGGATCGGTGTTTATGTCCGGGGCATTGTCGGGGGGGATGCATCGAGCACCAACTGGCCACGCATCGCCGATAGGGGCCTGAAATTATGATGTTCCAACCTGCTTTAGGCTCGACCACCAGAAAGAATTTCGAGCACCAACACAGTACCGACGCTGGCGGGTTTTCACGTGTCGTGCTCTGGGAGGCGATACTCGTTCGGCACTGTTTCGACACTTTTCTTTTCTGAGTGCACGAAATTATGTCTGGGATGTGGTCCTTAAGTACGATGCCGACAACATAAGCCTGATAGCCCACCCCGCCCAGGAACACAGGTCATGGTAACGAATGAACGCGCATCCGTGAAACAAACCATTGAAAAAGCGATGATGTACAAAAGCGAGACGGATTTACTAAATTGCGCCGCCGAATCAAAACGAGACAGAGCATCATCCAGTAAACGCAAGAACGGGTTCACTAAATTCGAATACGGATGCTCTAAATCCGGGGCCGTTTTTCTAAATCCCAGATCCTACCATTACCGTGACTTGAGTGGCTCGCCCAGGAGCGTGCGGACTCGCTGCCGGGGCCCATTGCCGATCCACCGGTGGCGAGTATCACCGACTCCAGCTCGATGCCCCCCCCTGAGCCCGTCCCCTCCCTTAACGTTGAGTCGGGCCTGTCCCTCTGCAGGAGGAAAAGTCAAAAATAATCAAAATATAGTCTGGGGACGATGTTTTGATTTGTTCTGCTATGTTTGAGAATGTGTCGAATATGTTTAATGTTTCGCCCAAGATCCGCCTGTGGGAGGACATACCCGACCTAACCCAAATTAACGTTCCCCCTCAGTGTGCCTCCCAGGCCAAACCAAGAGTGCACACGCACCGATCTTGGGCCTGGGATAGGCATGTCCGGGGCCGCTGCGAGTGCACAGACTTCTACCCCCCAAACATGATCGCGTCATACAAAAGTCACGACGGGATTTTTGTTCGGGGCCGTCGCCAGGCCTCGGGACCGTCAAAAAACGGCTCAGGATGAAAAACGGGTCCCATGGGAAAGGGTCGGGTTTCCCAGGTCGGCACAAACGAAATGCGGACGGAAAGAATGGGTACAATGCCCAACAGCAGTTCCTGTTCATTTTGAACAGGACTCGCAGTCCGCACCGCCGCGGCCTGTGTCTATTTGAAATGGAAGGCCGCCTGCCCAACAGCGGCCGCTGTCGGTTCGGGACAACAGTTTTTACTGGGCATGGTGCCCATGTTTTCCGTACCCATTTTGGGCGTCCAAAAACCAGGGACCCCGCACTGGAAAAAAACAGGGCGTCGCCTGTCTGGGCCCCCCAGCAGGAGCAAGCGCCTGGAGAACAGCGCGCGCCCGGCGCCCGCGCCCGCCGTGCCGCCCGAGCGGGAGGAGCAGTTCCGCAACCTCGTCGAGTACTTCGGCCTCACCGCCGAGCTCCAGGAGGCCGCCAGCGCTGCCCTGCGCTGCGCCCCCGGCCCGCCCGGCGAGGCGGCGCCCGCGGGCGCCGAGCACATGGGCTCCAGCCTGCTGCAGTCCGCCAGCGCCCTCCTCGGCGCCCTCCGCGGGGGCCGCGCGGCCCGGGGCGCGGGCGCGGCGGAGGCGCCCGACGAGCCCCGCCGCGGCCACGCCGAGTCCCGCGCGGCCTGGCTGGCCGCCTCCGCCCCGCGCCCCGCCTCGGCGGGCGCGGCCGCCGCCCGCGGGCGGCGCGGCGCCCGCCGCGGCGCGCGGGCTGCCCGCGAGGGTGGCGGCAGCCTCGGGCGCCGCGGCCTCCGCCGCGGCTGCGGCCGCTCCGCCGGCGGCCGCGGCCGCACTGGCCGCCGCTGCGCCGCTCGCCCCCGCTGCGCCGCTCGCCGCCGTCTTCCCCGCGGCGGCGCCGAAGCGGCCGGGCTGGTCCGCGAAGGGCTCGCACCGCCTCGCCACCACGGACGAGGGCGAGCCCTGCCTGCTGCACATGCTCGGGTGCTGTCAGCGGTGGTCCTGGCCCGAGGAGGCCCCAAAGAGCACCCCAGCGCGAGTCGGTGCGATCGGGATGGGTGATGGAACGGGGTCCGCAGACGCACGGCCGCTTGCCCAGCAGCGGCCGCTGTCGGTTTTGGACGGCATCTGTGGTTGGGCATCGTATCCACTCGTTCCGCTCCCGTGTGGGGCGCCCCTCACGAGGGAGGGCCCCAGTGGGGCTCCAGAGCCTTAGCGAACAGCTGACTGGGGACACCCTGGGCCAGGGACACCGTCGGCAGACCCCGACCATCGCGGAGACGAGGGCGCTCGCCTGCGCCGCGGCGGCGAGGGCGACGCGGGGCTTCCGCGGCGGGCGGCGGTCCTGGCACGTGGACGTGGAGCTGTGTTCCGACTGGTCCTACGTCGGCTTCGTCGGGGAGCCCTGGACCGCCGTCTCCTGCCCCGTGGGCCGCGCGCCCTTCTCCTGGGGGCTCGCCTCCAACGGCGCGCTGTACGCGGGCCGCGAGGAGGTGGGCCGGGCGCAGGGCTTCTCGGCGGGCAGCAGGGTGGCCTACGTCGTGGACATGGGCTCCCGGAGCGCCACCGTGATCGTGGACGGCGTGGAGTTCCCAGAAGTGTTCCGAGGGATCCCAGCCCCGATCTTCCCGGCCGCGTCGAATTGCCGGTCCCCGGCGCGGTACATGCTTGCGTACCGCGAGGACACCGAGGAGCACGCCGAGCCGCCACCTGGCGCCCTGCCCGACGAAGGGGCAAACGAGCTGCAGTCCATGTCGTAGCTCCAAAAGTGCAGCCGGTGCGTGGACCCCCTGACAGTTCAGCTGCGCAGCAAATGTGAAGCCCCACACTGGCTGCACCCCTTGCGTGTGGGACCCCTGTGCGTCTGGACCCCCGCGCATGCGGAACACCGTGCGTGAGGCACCCTTCGCGTGTGGAACCCCACGCCTGTGAAAACCCCGTGCGAGCGTGGACCGCGACCATTCTGAACCCCATGCTGATGGGAACCCCGCTCGCGTGGAGCCCCGTGTGTCTGTGAAACACCGCCATGCATGTGTGCGGAACCCGGAGCACGTGTGCGGAACCCTGTGTGTGAAGCCCCCGTGGGCCGCCAACGAGGTGCAGGGCCCCATTGGGTCTGGAAAGCCGCCGCGTGCGGAGCACCGCGTGCGGCCACGACGAGGCGACCACGCCGCGCGGGGCCAGCTGTATTCCCTGAAGCGCAGGCCCCCGAGCGCAGGCACCGTTTGGGAGGCACCTCCTCCTGCTCCCCCCTCTCCACAGGCCCGCATGGCCACCTTCCTCATCCTCCCCCTCCCCTCCCTCGCGTCTCCTCATCCCCCTCCCAGTCTCAGCCGCCATACCCACCCCCGTGTGTTCGCCCTCCTGCCACCACTCTCGTCAATCTCCCCATTTACGTCGCCATAGTTAGGCATTGTTTTTCTCCTCCTCCTCCTCCTCCTCCTCCTCCTCCTCCTCCTCCTCCTCCCACTCCTCCTCCTCCTCCCCATCTCCTCCTCCTCTTCCTCCTCCTCCCTCCTCCTCCTCCTCCTCCTCCTCATCCTCCTCCTCATCATCCTCCACCTCCTCCTCCTCCTCCTCCTCCCCATCCTCCTCCTCCTCCTCCTCCTCCTCCTCCTCCTCCTCCTCCTCCTCCTCCGCCCCCCCTCCCCCTCCCCCTCCCCCTCCTCCTCCTCCGCCTCCTCCTCCTCCTCCTCCTCCTCCTCCTCCTCCCTCCTCCTCCTCCTCCTCCTGCTCCTGCTCCTGCTCTTCCTCCTCCTCCTCCCTCCCTCTCCTCCTCCTCCTCCTTCCCCCTCCCCCTCCGCTCCCCTCCTCCTCCTCCTCCTCCTCCTCCTCCTCCTCCTCCTCTCCTCCTCCTCCTCCGCCCCCCCTCCCCCTCCTCCTCCCCTCCTCCTCCTCCTCCTCCTCCTCCTTCTCCTCGTCCTCCTCCTCTTTTTCCTCCTCGTCCTCCTCCTCCTCCTTCTCCTCCTCCCCCTCCCGCTCCCCCTCCACCTCCCCCTCCCCATCCCCCTCCCCATCCCCCTCCACCCTTCTTCACGTCCACTTCGTCGGTAACTCGCCAGCTCCGCCTGTTCGTCAGCATCCTCCCCATCCTCCGTCTCCCCGTGGAGGGAGGAGGGACAGGGGATGGAAGGAAAAGGGCGGGAGGGAGACTCCCGTCTGCGGCTCTCCCTCTCCTAGGCCCCCAGAACCCCTAGACGCCCCCAAAAAACGTCGACGGCCGCCTCCTCCTCCTCCTCCTCCTCCTCCTCCTCCTCCTCCTCCTCCTCCTCCTCCTCCTCCTTCCTCCTCCTCCTCCTCCCCCTCCTCCGCCTCCTCCTCCTCCTCCGCCTCCGCCTCCTCCTCCTCCTCCTCCTCCTCCTCCTCCTCCTCCTCCTCCTCCTCCTCCTCCTCCTCCTCCTCCTCCTCCTCCTCCTCCTCCTCCTCCTGCTAGTCCGCAGCAGTGCCAAGGCCTTGTGCCTGACAGCTTTTGCCAGTACTGCACGGGCTTCTGGCAGCCCATCTTTCGTGTGCTCCTGACGGAGCTAGTTGCTACGGCGCTGCGATGGCCCCCGCCCCGTGGCGTATCCCCCATGATGCGGAGGAAACCTGGACGAGGCAGCCCTGGATCCGAGTTCCGCCTGGGGGCGCCAAGGCTGGGCAGAATCGTGGTGCTCGGCTGTACACTGTGTGCTCTTGTGGCCACTGGACTTGGAATGACCTCCTGGCCAAGAGGCACAATCTCTGCGTCGGGTGCCAGTCCCAGTGCCATCCGCTCTGCTCCTCTGTCGGCGGCGGCGGCCAGATGCTTCTGTACACCGGTGCTGAGGAGTCTGGATGGGGTGAGCGAGGCAGCAAGTCCAAGGGTCGCTGGCGCAAGGGTACCCAGGCGCAGCAGGTGCAGCAGGGCCCCTCTGAAGCCATTCCTCCTCAAGCTCTCGCGGCTGTCAAGGAGGCTGCTTCGCACCTCGCGCCCGACCTTGCCCAGAAGTTGCTCGCTCAGTTCGTGCCCAAGCCTCCGCCCCAGCCCCAGGCGACACCTCAGGCCGAGTGGCAACGTGCATCGCAGGCCAAGAAGGCGTCCAAGGAGAAGCTCGACAAGGCCCTGGCGCGCCGCGCGGCGCTGGACAAGGAGGTCACTGACCTGGACAAGCACCTTGACGAGCTCATGGCGAGGGATCTGGAGAACGCTGACATACTTGAGCAGGCCACTCGTAAGCTTGCCGTCGGAGTTCTCAAGCCTGCTGAGCCCATTTCCAGCAAGAACTTCATTTCCCTCGACGCCCTCTTCAAGGACTCCGCTGATGAGATCAAGCTCGACTGCGGTGAAGAGCTGGACGTCTCGGGGCCAGCCTTCTCGGCCGAGGACCGCGAGGGATTTGAGAAGTTCAAGCTTGAGCAGTCTCAGCAGGTCAAGACCCTCTTGCACGGAGCGCTCACGAGCATGAAAGCCCAGTACAAGACGCACCAGGAGGAATACCAGAAGCGGATGGGTGAGCTGCGTAAGAAACGCAAGACTACTCATGGTGCGGTTGCAACAGGGGTCGCGGCTTCTCAAGGTGCGGGCAGCCAGAGCGCCGCTTCCTCTCAGGCGCCTGCGGCTGATGCGCCGAAGGCTGTTCCGTGGGCTGCTGAGGCCCCTGCCGAGCCGACCGACAAGGAGAAGAGGATCGAGAAGGTGCGCGCTGACACTCTCGCACGGGCTAAGGCTGCTGCTGCTCGGGCCAAGGTTGAGGCTCGTGAGTCGGGCTCCTAGCTCTGCTGGTGATGGTCAAGCGTGTGACAGCTGTTCTACCTGCAGCTCTCCTGCCGGCGTGCTCTCAAGATCGGCCTCCTCATGTTCACTTTCTTCTGCGCCGTCCACTTCGACGGCAGGCGGCTCTTTTTCTCTCCCGCTTTTGACGACCTCTCCTGGTGCTACTGCGTCCTCGTCGGGTTCATACGATGGGCGCTCACTCACCGCGCCTGCGAAGGCAATGACCCCGCGGACGGCGCCTGCTGCAGGTTGGCCCTGCCAAGACCTCAGCACGGATTCCCGCGGCGCGAGTCTTGCTGGAGGCTCGGCAGACGACGCCACATGTGCTTGCGGCACGGCCACTACTGCGTTGGTTGCGGCATCTACTGCTTCGGGCTTGGCGGCGACCTCGGCCCCGTGCTCGACCTCAACGGCAGGCAGGCGGTCGCGCTGGCTCCAGGAGGCGCGGGACGTGGGAGGCGCCGCTGGAGAGGGGACGGCCCCTCGCCCCCAAGGGTGCGCGGTCCTGCGGGAGCCCGCTGCAGGGCACACCGCGAATTCTGTCCTCACCTGCAAGGACCAGGATCCTGAACGGCGTGAGGCCATTCGTCAGCGACTTATTATGGAGCGTCGTCTTCGGTTATACACTAACTTCTGGCTCCAGGACCCGAGTCTGTTGGATGAGCCCACCAACCAAGCTTACTGGATGCGTTTGTGTGTCACTTATGTTTCTGACTTGCTTACCCAGGGTGTTTACGATCCTCTCGTCTTGGAGCAGTCGGCGCGGACTGGCATTGAGAACTTGGCTATCGTGAGGCGTGACATGGCTCATGACATCTGTCTTCCGGCCTGGAGGTCCCGGAGG